GCACAGCGCTTGAGATCGGTACATCTGTCTGCGCTGCCCGAGATGTTAAAAGGTCTGGCTGCCGTGCTCGTGCTCCCTCGGGTCTCGGCGGCTCTCCCAAAGCAGGCAGGTGTCTCACGCGCCCCGAAGGCAGATGCTTCTAGTGCGCGCACGTCTTGCGTCAGCCGATGTTGCTCTCCGCAGCGTGTGTTGCTCCCGCCCACCTCCCTTGTCACACTTTTACTTCTTCACCTTGCGGAGCGGAGCTGCGCTTCAGAATTCTGTGATGTTGTCGAGCAGCACCCTGAAAAGGTGTTGGTGCACAGCGCTTGAGATCGGTACAACTGTCTGCGCTGCCCGAGATGTAAAAAGGTCTGGCTGCCGTGCTCGTGCTCCCTCAGGTCTCGGCGGTTTTTCCAAAGCAGGCAGGTGTCTCACACACCCGGAAGGCAGATGCATGATTTGATGGAGTGGGTTGGGTGGATTGGATTGCATGGGGTAAGATGGATTGGAGAACAAAATGGGTTGGATTGGAAGAAATGGATTGGATAATATATGATGGATTGGATTGGCCCGCCGCAGGCGCAGAAACAAATAAATTGATGGATTGGGTTGGATGGTATCGATTGGGTGGGATAAGAGAAGATGGGACAAAATGGGTTGGATAAGATGATATGTATTGGATTGGACACGATGGGTTGGAGAAGATACGCTGGATTGGATAAAGAAGCCCGCCGCAGGCGCCGAAACAAATGAATTATGAAATTCTAGACGCTTCGCGTATCCCCACCAGCCCGTCCAGAAACGACGCCCAGGCGAGTAGAGGGTCGTCCTGAGGGGCTTTTCGGCGTCTTGGGTGCCTCGGGGGGGCCTCTGTGGGCCGTTCGGGATCCTCTTTGGGGCCTCCTCGGGGCCTCTTGGGGCCTCTTGGGGCCATCTTGGGGCCTTTGGGGGCCTCCTGGGCGCTTCTTGGGGCCATCTTTGCCCCTTGGGTGCCTCTGGGGGGTCTTTTGGGGCCTCTTGGGTGTCTCTTGGGAGCCTCCTGGGGGCCTCTTGGGGGGCCTCTTGGGGCCATCTTGGGGCCATATTGGAGGGGATCTGTCAAATAATCGCCTCTTGAACCGCTCTTGGAGGGCTCTTGGAGCGCTTTTGGGCGCTCTTTGCGCCGTCTTCGGGCTTTCTTGGGCCCTTCTTGGAGCTATCTTGAGCCATCTTGGAGCTATCTTGACGCCTCGGGTGGGCATCGGAAGCGAAAGCGCGAGAACGCCAAAAACATTGATTTTCCGTAGGGTTTGAAACATCTTGGCTTCTTGGGGGCATCCGAGGGGAGCTCTAGTGGACACTTAGAGCCGTCTTGGGGCGGTCTTGGAGCGTCTTGGAGCATCTTCGGAACCATTTGGAGGCATCTTGCGCTATCTTGAACCATCTTGGAGGCGATCTTGGGCTCCCTGAGGCCCTCTTGGAGTCGTCTTGGCTCATCTTGGACGTTCCAACGCGTCGCGGCCCCCCCGTCCAGGTCAGTGGGGAGGGGGTGGGGGGAGGGGTAAACCCCTCCCCGAAGGGGAAGAAGGAGGGGTGGAAGAGGAAACGCTCTAAACCACCGACGCCCAGAGGGCTGGTGGGATTTGCGACATGCGTTAGCGCCGGGACGCCCAGGACACCCGGGACACCCGGGACACCGCCCGGCCCAATTGGGACACCTCCCGGCCACCGGCGGACGGGAAACGGATTTTCGTTCCTATTGATACTTGGGACACCCGGGACACCGCCCGGCCCAATTGGGACACCTCCCAGCCACCGGCGGACGGGAACGGACTTTCGTTCCTCTTTCGGCCAAGCTACAGGGGGATCACGCGCAGCTTCGTCTCGCCCGCGCGCACGACACGAGCATGAAACCGAAACCGATTTCCCGGTGGGGGGTCTCCGTTTCACTGCGATCTCACCCCCCAGCCTCCGACATCGCATCATCAGACGAAGGAGAAGACATACATACCATTATGTCAGAATGTGCCTTCTCCGATGGTGAAGAATATATCGAAGACACCTCTGGCGAATCACCGCCGCCCCCTGCCTGTTGGAATCGCCCATGTGGCCGAGCGTTGTGACAAGAGTTCCGCCGAGCTGTCGGACCATGTGTTCCCCCAGCCGTCGTGGAAACCCTTCGGGGGTCACTTGGGGTGGATGGCGGGGAAGATCAGGAGAAGGAGGAAGAAGAAAAAGGAGGGCACATCTTGGGAGCCTGTGGGGGCATTCTTGGGGTCTCTTGGGAGTTTCCTGGGAGCCTTGTGGAAGCATTTTGGGTGCCTCCTAAGGCCCTCTTGGGGGCCTTGGGGGGCTTCTCGGGGGCTTCTTCGGCCGTCTTAGGGCATTCCTGACCCGTCTGGCGCCGTCGGAAGTCGTCTTGGGGGCCTCTCCGGACCGACTTGGGGCCCTCTTGGGGTGTTCCAGGGCCGTCTTGGAGGCCATCATGGGCGTCTTGGAGGCATTTTGGGCTGTTTTGGAGCCCTTTGGGGGCCATCTTGGGGCGATCTCGTTGACCTCTAGGGCAGTCTTGGGTTGTCGGAAGGCCGAAAAGAAGCAAACGCCACAATGTGTCAACAACCTTGGAGCAACCATGGATTTGGGCCTCTTCGGGCCCTCCTGGACGCGTTTGGGGAGCCGTCTTGGGCCATCTTGGAGGCTTCTTGGGCGGAATCAGAGGCATCTTGGAGCCATCTTGGGCCGCCTTGATTCCTTTTCTCGGCGGGCTTGGAGGCAACTTGGAACATCCTGGAGGCCATCTTGGGCCAACATGCCCATTTGAGAAGCCTTCTTGATTCGTCTTGGAGATTTGTTGTAGACGTTGTGCTCGTTTATGCGGCATTCCGTGTGGCTGGCTCAATGAACCGAAGCCCCATGTTTTTTTTTCTGTGGGAAGCAACCAAAACCAAACCGTATAGGGTTCAGCACGCCAGGCATTCATGTGACCAGCGCAGGGGGCGGCGGATCTAAGACGCCTACGGCGAATCGCCGCCGCCCCCCGCCTTCTAGAATCGCCCACGTGGCCGAGCGTTGTGGCAAAAGCTCTGCCAAGGTATCGGGCCATGTGTTCCCCCAGCCGTCGTGGAAACCCTTCGGGGGTCACTTGGGGGAGGATGGCGGGGAATATCAAGAGGAGGCGGAGGAGGAGGTGGAGGAGGAGGAAGAGGAGGAGGAGGAGGAGCAGGAGGAGCAGGAGGAGCAGGAGGAGCAGGAGGAGCAGGAGGAGCAGGAGGAGCAGGAGGAGGAGCAGGAGGAGGAGCAGGAGGAGGAGCAGGAGGAGGAGGAGGAGGAGGAGGAGGAGGAGGAAGGGGCATCTTGGGAGCCTCTGGGGACACCCCGGGGGCCTCCTGGGAGCTTCCTGGGAGCCTCTTGGACCCTTCGGGGTTTCTCAGGGGCCTCTTTGGCCGCCTTGGTGGGATCCTGGCCCGTCTGACGCCGTCGGAGACTTGGAGACCTCTTAAGCCGTCTTGGGGGCCTCTTGGAACCGCCTTGGGGGCTATCTTCGGGCCTTCCTTGAGGCCCTCTTGGAGGCCTCTTAGGTCGTCTTGGGCCATCTTAAGGCCCTCTTCGGCCGTCTTAGTGGGCTCCTGGCCCGTCCGACGCCGTCGGGAGCCGTTTGGGGGGCCTCTCTGGGCCGACTTGGGGCCCTCTTGGAATGCTGCAGGGCCGTCTTGGAGGTCATCTTGGGCGTCTTAGGGGCCTCCTGGGCCGTCTTGGGGGCCTCTTGGGGCCGTCTTGGGGGCCCTCTTGGGCCGTTCTGGGGCCATCTTGGAGGCCCCTTGGGCGATCTCGGGGCGATGTTTGGGGGCTATTGGGCCGTCTCGGGCCGTCGGAAGGCCGAGAAGAAGCACAACATCGCTCAAACAGAACATCAATGATTTTGGCCTCTTGTGGCCATCCTGGAGGCCCTCTTGGCTCCCTCTTGGAGGCCTCTTGGGCCGTCGGCCATCTTGGTGGGCTCCTGGCCCGTCTGACGCCGTCGGACGCCGTCTGGGGGGCCTCTCTGGGCCGACTTGGGGCCCTCTTGTGGTGCTCCAGGGCCGTCTTGGAGGCCATCATGGGCGACTTGGAGGCATCTTGGGCCGTTTGTTGGCCCTTTGGGGACCGTCTTAGAGACATCTTGGGCTGTCATGAGGTCATATTGGATACTTCTGGGGCCATTTGGGGGCGATCTCGTTGACCTCTTGGGCAGTCTGGGGTTGTCGGAAGGCCGAGAAAAGAAGCAAATGCCACAATATTTCAAACATTCGTGGGACATCAGTGATTTTGACCTTTTCGGGCCTTTCTAGAAGCCCTCTTGGAGGCTTCTCGGGTCGTCTTGGGCCATCTTCAGCCGTCTTGGTGGTCTCCTGGCCCGCCTGACGCCGTCGGAAGCCGTTTGGGGGGCCTCTTTGGGTCGACTTGGGGCCCTCTTGGAATGCTCCAGGGCCGTCTTGGAGGTTGTCTTGGGCGTCTTAGAGGCCTCCTGGGCCGTCTTGGGGGCCTCTTGGGGCCGTCTTGGGGGCCTCTTGGGAGAGGAAAAGAAGTAAGACGAGGAGGAAAAGGTTGACGGGAGGGAGAAGGAGGGAAACGCAGGTGCAGCGGGTAGAGCAGCAGGAGGTCGTCCAAGCAATTTCGAGTGACAAAGGGCAGTCCATCCAGTTTTGCGGGCGTTTGTCATTCGGATGCACTTGCGGGGCTTGACGAATGCTTGAGGCTTTGACGAGGTTGTCGTGGGGGTCATGTCCAGGATGATCCCAACGCATGTTTTTCTACACTGGGGCGCGCACCAAGAAGCCGCGCGCATTTTGACAGAGCTCCTTGCGCTTCTTGAGTTCGGAGATGTCCGTGATGGAATTCTAAGGCCCCCTGACGCTGACATCATCGAAATCCTTTGGTTTCGGTGACTGGGTCTCTTGTGGAGTTCTCTGGCGGTGACAGTCCTATTGTCTTGTGATTGTTGGCGCTTTGGTGCGCTTTGCCAACTGCGGTCGGCTCCATGAGCCCATTTTGGTGGCGAGGTGGAGAGTTCGTGCGGCTTTACTGCGACTGGCTGCTGACTGGAAGCGTGGAGAAGCAGTTCGACCCGTTTCGCAAGGGCCCTGTTGCGGGGGGGGGGAGGGGACGTGCACCAGATTGGAAACACATATTTCAAGGGAATGTTCCGGGCTGGTTCGCAGTTGTCTTGTGAGGGGTAGCAGCACCAGCAGGATTGGATGTTGCCATAGGTGACCTTGGCCTGAGCTGGCCCCAGCGCTTCCAAGGAGGCCCGGGAGGCTTCCAGGGCATTCCTCCCGAGGACTAGAGGGCCCGAAAGCTCCCAAATGTCGCGCACAGCTGGGGGCACCTCAGGTAGGCTCCGGCAGGTGGCGGGAAGGAGCGCCCAGAAGCAGGCGCGAGGGGTCGCCGTCCGTGCCAGAGCGTCCCTACCCGGCCACGATTCTGGCGGCAGCCGTGCGATGAGTGGCAGCCCGCTTTGTACCGACTGGCGCAGAGGGAGAGAGAGAGAGAGAGAGAGAGAGAGAGGGAGAGAGAACAAAAAAGAAGAGAGCGAAAGAGAGATCGTTTCTTAGTCGGATGTCTGGGATGTGCTCTGTCGCCATCTGCCTGCGCCAACTGGGACATCGGTTTCGATTCGTGTCGTGCGTGCGGTCGAGACGAACATGCGCGAGGGGGATGATGTGTTGGCCATAACTCTCAGGGCCCAGTCGGACAAACTGTCTCTGCCCCGTCTCGCCGTGGCCCGCTGAGTTGTCCCGTGGGTGTCCCTGGTTTGTTCTTAGGGTGTCCCGTGGGTTGTCACGTGGATGATTCTCCCGTGGGGTGTAGCGTCATTATCCCGTGGGATTTCCCCGTGGATTGTCCCGCGGCTGCCTCGTGGGAATTTCAAATCAAATTGTAGGTACATGCTTCATAGACCACCCATCGGGTGATACGTAAGTCGGTGGGGGGGTTGCTTTTCGGTGTGCATTTCGATTGCAATTCGATCTGCAATTCGACCTTAAGTTCGGGTGCGATGCCATTTTCGAAGTGTATGTCAAAATGCGACTGCATGTGTAGATGCGTACGTGTAGTTGCGGTTCGATCTGCGTTCCGATTTACACGTTCGATGTGCATGTTGATTTGCATGTTGAATTGCAGTTTTATGGTTTGTTCGATATCAATGTTGATGTTCATTTCTGGCTTAAGTTTGGTTCGTGATTTCTTGTACATGCGTGTGCTCAGTTCGATGTGCATTTCTCTGTTCTGTTCAATTGCAGTCCAATTTGCAAGTCGAGTTGCATGTTGATTTTCAATTTGACGTGCACCTCGACGTGGCTTTCCGATATGCACTTTGAAGATCGTTTCCAATTGTATCTTTCTTCGATTGCTTTTGGATTGTCATTTCGATGTCCACCTCACCTTGTATGTCTGTACGTATGTCGGCTTCCGTTTGTGCTTCTCTGCACACGGACTTGCATGTCGATTTCAATTTGCTACAGGAACAACACTTGGGGGGACAACCCGCGGGACAACCTCGGGACAAGCTATGGAACGACAAACGGGACAATCACGGGATAATTCATGAAACAGCCCATGGGACAACCACGGTGCAACCCACGGGAACAATCCACGGAGCAATCATGGGACAACCACAGGACAACCCACGGGACATCACCATGGCAGTTTGGACAATTACGGGACAGTTCCGACCAGCCCCGGCTTGTTTCGGGTCCCCGCGAGACGGGTCATTCAGGATGAGCGATCGCGCACGTCAGAGATAAAGCATGAGACCCGGAAGGGGGAATTTGAGTCTGGCCTCAGCAGGGGGATCGAGTCTCCAGTCGGGCGGGGCTGGGACGAGGATAGGTCCGCGTTCCAGAGCGTTCAGGAACGCTCTCAGAGCGTTCTGGCAGGCTCTGAGAAGTCCCAGGGGAGGAGCGGGGCTTCCAGAGGCCGTTATCGTGAGATATTCGACAGACGCAATCCACCGGTAGGCGGTGGCCGACGACGATGACGGGGGACGACGAGGGCGAGCCGCCCCCATCAAAATGTGGGGACAAGCCGCGCGGGGACCGGCGGGCGGAGTCGCACGGGCGGCGGCGGAGGGGTACCCCGCCTTCGATGTGGCGATAGTCGAAGAAGAGAAATCACACAAAGTCTTGGCGTGCCGCGCGGACTTCTTGGCTCCGCGCTGGGGCCCCCTCGGCGGCCCCTCCAGCGCCGCCCCTGGCGCGCTCCGCGCGCCAGGGAGGGGGGTCCAGCGCAGATCCAAGAAATCCGCGCGGAGCGCCGAAAGTTTATGTTTATGCAGTTTTTTCCCCAATCAGAGCTTGCCTCTGTGGGGGTCCTAGCGGATTCATATGGTTAGGTTCGGTTTGCCGCCGATTTCGCCGCACGCCCGTTTGCCCAGGTGCCCGGGGGTGCCCGGGTACCCAGGTGCCCAGGTGCCCGAGTGCCCGGGCGTGCCAGGGGGTACCTGGGGGTGCCCGGGTGCCCAGGGGGGCCTTATAGCCCACTAGCCCTATAGCCCTGTAGCCCCATAGCTCTATAGCTCTATAGCTCTATAGCCCTATAGCTCAATAGCTCTATAGCCCTATAGCAGTATAGCCCTATAGCTCTTGCGCCAAAAGTTTATGTGTATGCCGTTGTTTTCCTTTTTTCTAAATATGAGCTTGTTTTGGGGTGTAGTTAAACATGTAGGCTAATGCGTCTTCAGGCACGAGTGGTTTCCGACGCGGTTTCTGGAGGTGCCTGGTCCCCGCTGTTTTTGTTTCTCATGCTTGTTTTCCAAACAGGCATCATGATTGAGAGTCTTGCTCGAGGTGTCCGAACAAACCAGCCAGAGTTCCCTCCAGATTCCCGCTAGATTCCTGGCAAATTTCGATTGTCCCCGTGCGGTCTCTACCTCGCAATGACGATTGTCTCGTCTAAGAGAATATCCTCCCAAACGTCATCTGCGCTGCCGCCATCTCCGCCATCCTCATTATCGCCTACATGTCGCTGTCTCTGCTGCCACTCTGTTCACCGTTCTGGCGATCGCTACGCGCCACGCTGCTTTTTCATCGACGGAAAGGCGCCGCAGCAAATCGGAAACCGAGCCTTCCCTTGTCCGACATCGTCCCCCCAGTCTTCCCTTCCCCCGTCCTTCCGTCTCCCCCTCATGTCCTTCTTGTCCTCCCGTAGACCCACCCAGACCTCAGAAAACAACTTGGTGCTCCTTCTCGTCCTCCTCCTCCTCTTCCTCCTTCTCCTCCTCGTCCTCGTTCCCCTCGCCCCCCCTTCCTCCCTCGCCCTCCCTGTCCTCGCTCTCGCCCATACCCCCCCTCTCCCTCGCCCTCGACCTCCTCCTCTCCGTCCTTATCCCGGGTCCTCGTCCTCCCCCTACTCCCCTCTCGCGGGGGCCATTGGAGGTGTGCCAATGGGGGAGGAGGGGGAGGAGGAGGAGGAGGAGGAGGAGGAGGAGGAGGAGGAGGAGGAGGAGGAGGAGGAGGAGAGGAGGAGAGGAGGAGAGGAGGAGAGGAGGAGGAGGAGGAGAAGGAGGAGGAGGAGAAGGAGGAGGACAAGAGGAGGAGGAAAAGAGGAGGAGGAGGAGAGGAGGACAGAGGAGGAGGAGGAGGAGGAGGGAGAGGAGGAAAAGAGGAGGAGGCAAAGAGGAGGAGGAAAAGAGGAGGAGGAGGAGGAGGAAAAGAGGAGGAGAGGAGGAAAAGAGGATAGGAGGAGGAGAGGAGGAGGAGGAGGAGAAGAGGAAGGGAGGAGGAGGAGGCGAGGAGGAGGAGGAAGGAGGAGAGGAGGAGGAGGGAGGAGGAGGAGGAGGAGGAGGATGAGGAGGAGGAGGAGGGAGAAGACGAGGAAGGAAGAGGAGGATAACGAGGAGGAGGAGGAGGAAGAGGAGGAGGAGAAGAAGAAGGAGGAGGAGGAGGGAGAGAAGAAGGAGGAGGAGGAGCAGGAGGAGACGGGGAAGGAGGAGGAGGAGGAGCAGCAGCAGCAGGAGGAGACGGGGAAGGAGGAAGAGGAAGAGAAGGAGGAGGAGGAGGAGGAGGAGAAGAAGAAGTGGCCAGGAGGAGGAGGAGGAGGAGGAGGAGGAGGGGAGGAGGAGGAGGTGGCCAGGCGTCCGTCGCGTGTGCGACTCGCCGCTCTTCAACGCCCTGGACAGGCCCGCCCCGCGCCCGCCCGCCAGAGGGGGTGCGCCCCGCGGCCCAGGGCGCGCGGCTCTGCCAGGGGGGGGGGGGGCTCGGAGGCCTCGCTGCGGGCATCCTCTCCCTTCCTGCTTCGTCGCCTCGCTGCTTCCCTCCCCTCGTCGCCCCACCCTTGCTCTCCCTCCTCCTCCCTCCTCCTCCTCCTCCTCCTCTCCCCTCCTCCTCCTCCTCCTGCTCCCCCTTCCTCGTCCTCCCCTCCTCCTCGTCTTCTCGTCCTCCACCCCCTCCTCATCTTCCTCGTCGTCCTCCTCCTGCTCCTGCTGCTGCTGCTCCTCTCCTCATCTTCTCTTCCGCCTCATCCTCCTCGTTCTCCCCTCCTCCTCCTTCCTTCCTCGTCTTCTCCTCCTCATCCTCCTCCGCCTCCTCCTCCTCATCATCATCATTCTCATCATCCTCCCCCTTCTCCTCCTCCTCCTGGTCTTCCTCCTCCTCCTCCTCCTCCTTCTCCTCCTCCTTGGTGAGAGGCCTCGACTGGGAGAGAATTCGTAGCAATAGTCATGCCATTGTTGCGTTTCCCTGTTCGTTCAGACCATTCAATTTTGTTTGTTTGTGTGCATTGTTGCTCGGTTTTGCCCACCTTTACACGACGGTGTGCCCAGGGACTATGAATTCGCAGCAGAGGTCAAAGCGGAAACACATTCTGTTGGGTAAACACCCACAACGAGGCAGAGGGCATGTGAAGGATTTAACTGACATCCCCTCCGTTGAGTGTTTCCAGCGCAAACTGTTCAGTGTGTCGCTGCTACCTGTCAGTTCCCAATTGAATGCAGTTGAAGCCTGGGGGGGCAACAAATCCTCCTCCTCCTCCTCCTCCTCCTCCTCTTCATCCTCCTCCTCCACCACCTCCTCCTTCTCCTCCTCCTCATCATCATCCTCCCCTTCTCCTCCTCCTGGTCTTCCTCCTGCTCCTTCTCCTCTCCTCCTCCTCCTCCGTGTCCTGCTTCTCATCCTCCTCCTCCTGCTGCTCTCTTCCCCACCCTCCGCCCTCTGCATCCGTGCGCTTCTCCAGTTCCGCTGAGGGCCCTCTTTCATGTGGTGCATGTCAAGCATTGTTGTTCATCATGTGGCCATTGCTCTGCTCATGTTGTGCATGTCTGTCATCGCTTGGCATCACGTGGCCGCAATCGTTTCTTAGGGAGCAAGACGCATCGTTCTTAAACAAGCCCCGAAGCCTTGGGCGCAGGGGTCATCATCAAAAGAAATCGCGCTCTCTTGTATCATGTTGTTTCTCGTCTTCCTGTTCCTTCTGCTTCTCCTCCCCGGGTCCCCTCTCCTCTTCTTCTTCCTGCGGGAGCCTCTGCATCACGATCGTGGTTCGGGTCCGGAAGGGCGTCGGCAGGAATGCAGATATTGTTGGGCTGTCTTCTGGAGGATGATGACGAGCAGCAGGAGGAGCACAGGAAGGATAAGGGCGCGAGGGACGGATGAGGAGGAGGAGCCCACGCTTCCAGTCGGTCAGACTGCCGGCCTCGCGCCTGTTCTTCTCCCCGTCCTCTTCGTCCCGCCATCTGGAAATTAGCAGGCTAGACTTTTCGCAGCCTAGGGTGTGGGAGACAAGACTGGGGTGACGTTGACGTCGTGATTACCGGTTTTCTCCCGCTTGTGGCTGCCGCCGCCCGCTGGCTTTGCCAGGGAGTTGGCCGTCGCAGCCTAAAACGGTCCGGGATCGAAACCGCGCGCGTCCGCGCGTTTCTTTTCTGAACTTACTGAACTTGTTGAATCTGATTTGTTCTGGTAGTTCGAAGGATCCCGCCCCTGACGAGCGTGTCGTCATCGTCACCGTCATCACCATTATCTTTGATGAGCATCAGAACCAGCATATATTGCCATCATCGCCAGCACTGTCATCTCGACCAGCCGGCATCGCTGTTCGCCGTTATCATCAACCACCATCACCGTCATGTTCAGCACGCTTGTGTACAGCGGAGACCCATGATAAGAAACACCCTGTTTGCCTCCAGGGTGCCCGGGGTTTCTCGGGTTTCGATGCTTTTGCTGTGTTGAGCGCGACGTTCCCACTCCAAAAATACACAGAGGTCCTGAGGTCTCAGGGTTGGGTTTCTTGCGGAAGGTTTCTTGTGGACTGGCCTCCGTTGTTCAAGCAGTGGCGAAGCGTCCTGGCTCGCCTATAGCCCCACCAAACAATGTTCTAAGAACATGTTGTGGTTTCCACGGAATGTTCTTAGAACATTTCTGGCGGAGTCTGTCTTGTTTTATCACATCGGGTTGATGCTCTAAGAACATTGTTTTTGTGATTCGAACATTGTTGGGTTCTAAGAACATTTCGTGGTAGGGCTATAGGAATGCCGGGACGGTCGGTCCCTGCTCAAGTTGTACAGTGCCCTACGCGGGAGCGATCAGTGCCACCATCGCCATCGCCACCGGCACCATCGCCCCTCCTCCTCTTCCGCCCTCTGTGACTGTGACCCTCGCCCCGCCGCGGCCAGCGCCGAGCTGAAGATGATCGTCTGCGGCGAGCAGGACTTTGCCGCGGCTTGGTGGCCCGCGGCGGTGCCGTCCGTCTCTGGAGGGGGGTTCCGAGGGGCGCGACGCTGAGCGGCCTGGGGGAGAGATGATCGAAGAAGAAGGCGCCATAAGCATAGACTATTGGCGCTCCGCGCGGACTTCTTGGATCCGCGCTGGGGCCCCCCCCGGCGGCGTCTCCGGCGCCGCCCCTGGCTCGTTCCGCGCGCCAGGGAGGGTGGTCCAGCGCAGGCGCAAGAGGTCCTCGCGGAGCGCCAAAAGTTCGTGTTGTTTCTGCTGTTCTTTCTTCTTTTAGAGAAAACGGCCGCTTCTCGACCTTCGCTGCCTGGGCTGGAGAGATGCTCATCGCCAGGGGGCCGCCGAATTGGGCGGTCTGCGGGCTGCGGCGTTGCCGCACTATGCTGGCCTCAGAGGGGGTCAGAGCCGCGGCTTGGAGGCCCCTTGCTCTCTTCGCCTCTTGTCCTCCTCCTCCTCCTCCTCCTCCTCCTCCTCCGCCTCCTCCTCCGCCTGCTGCTCCTGTTCCTGCGCCTGCTCCTGCTCCTCCTCCTCGCTCTTCCTCCTCCTCCTCCGTTTCCTCGCTCTAAGGACCCGAGACTAAGGAGATGCGACTGGGCTTGTGTCAGATTCGCCACGCTGGACAATGTGGATGGAGGTTTTGCCGGAACGTTTTTGGCGACGCTCCAGTATGACACTGGACGAGTGCTCATTACGTTTCTATGTACTGGATGTTGAACAGGCTTCAGGCAGCCACGAGAGGCACACAAGAAGTCTGATACGCTGAATCTGCGGGTTCGCCTCTGGGATGTCCTGGATCGCAGGCAAGGGGAAGTGGGACTCAGATGGGCCACAAGCAACTCTACGGGAGCCCAAGGCAGCGCCCTCCATTTAACGACTACTGATCAGCTCCTTGATGGGGCCGCTGATGTCCGTTCTGGGGATGCGTCCCGTCGAGCTGCTGTCCCCGATACTTTGAAGAATATCGCTCTTCGGAATGGTAAGTTGTTGACGCTTCGCCAATCCCCACCAGCCCATCCAGAAACGATGCCCAGAGGATTTGCCTCGATCAGGGACATGGGCAGCACACAGAGGAAGCCATAATGAGACATCTTGGGATATCTTGAGCCAGCCATCTTGGAGGTCATTTGGGGCTCTCCCAGGCGCTCTTGGAGTCATCTTAATCAGTGCCCCCCCAGGGGCCAACATGTGGCTAAAACCTTAGTAAAATCAATGATTTGGCATTCTCGCCGAGGCCTCTTGGAGCATCTTGGGTGCCTCTGGGGGGTCTCTTGGGGCCGCTTGGGGGTCTCTTGGGGGCCTCCAGGGGGCATCTTGGGGGCCTATTGGGCCATCTTGGGACCATCTTGGGACTTCTTGGGGCCTGGGCGCTTCTTGGGGCCATCTTGGAGGAGATCGATCGAACAAGAGGGGAGCATTAATTAGCGTTCCCCCCAGGAGGCCAACATGGGGCCCAAAACCCAGTAAAACCAATGAGTTTGGCTTCCTCGCCGAGGCCGTTTTGGACGCTCCGACGACTCGCGAAACCCTTTGTCCAGGTCCATGGGGAGGGGGTAGGGGGAGGGGTAAGCCCCTCCCCGAAGGGGAATAATGAGGGGTGGAACAGGAAATTCCCTAAACCACCGACGCCCAGAGGGCTGGTGGGACTTAGTGCTGACATAACGCGGAGGCTGGTCAACATGCCAGCGTGAAGTTTCTGCGACCTGCCCCAGAGATCGAGTGCGGGAGCGAGTCGGGCACGGGCATGTGTGTGCCAGGTGTTCTCACACCAGTGCCCAGATGAGGCTCTCCAGAGTCTTAGAGGCAAGCCACTCACCTGTGTAGCTTCAGACTACGATGAAGTGTGGTACCTGTTCTGTCCGTTTCTCCCAGCGGGCCGTATTGTTTGGTTTTTTGGCCTGGCCTTTGAGTGGCCAGCAAGCTTTTGCGATTTGCCCCTCCGATGGAGGGCGGGCCCGAGCTGCGGGACCCCGGGACAGATGAGAGCGACCCGCCGGTTCACCCGCCAGCCACTTCGCGTCAGGAGTCCCATAGTTAATCAAGAGTGGTGCTCCACGGGGTGCCCTTCTGTTCGTGTTGCGGGCGCTCTGCTGTGAATAGCATAGGACAGTTCCGTGAGCACTGCTAGCAGCCCACTCGCAGGGGGTTCAAAATGTGAACCGCCTCGGGAGAGGGCTCCCGCCCAAGCTTGGAACGACCTTTCCTCCTTGGTTGTAGTGGGGTGGCCAGGCCAGCACCCAGGAACCACGTGTTCGCCATAACGACATAGGTCTTTCTCGCTCCTGCTCCGCCTCCTCTTCGCTCGTCCTCCTCCTTCTCCTCCTCCTCCTCTTCCTCCTCATCCTCCTCTCCTCTTCCTCTTCTTTCTCTTCCTCCTCCTCCGTTGCCATGTTGGCTCAAGTCTGGGGCAGGCCCAGCATTGAGCGCGGCAGCCCTTCGTGCGGGGTTTTCCAGCTGTCAGAGGCTGGCGGACACCCTTCTTCACCGAGCTCCCTGCCACACGTCATGGCACATGTGGATGCTCCCATGGACTCTCAAGAGACACTGGGGCTGGCCGCCGCCATCGAAGCTGCTCCCACTTTCCCGTCACAGGACCGCGGCAAAGGTAAAGGTGCCGCACGTGCTGCCTCTCGCAAGCTTAATCCTGGTGATGTCGCTCGCTCTGACCCTCCTGATGACGATCTCTCATCCGAGGAGTTTTTTTTTGCGGCAGTTGTGCAGGGGGGAGTTCTCCAACATGCGCTCCGCCCTCTCATCCGAGATCGGGGCCTCCGTCGCTGGCACGATCAACGCTAATCACAATGCGGTATTGGACATGCTCTCCAAGATGCAGGCCGCAGTTGCCCAGCAGACGTCCGATGTGCAGCGGCAGATTCAGAGAGCCATCGCGCCGAGGCTCGACGCTCTCCATCGTGAATTGCAAGCCCAGCTCGACGACCACGCTGGCTTGCCATCGTCTGCCCAGCGCCGCCTCGACTCGCATGACACAAAGATTGCAGAGCTGCGCTCCCAGATGGACGCCCTCCGCAGGGAGCTTGTCCTCGCCATCGAGAAGCCGAAGCCTCAGGCCGCCACCCCGCCGTCGTTCGACTGTGACGCCGACCCCGCCCCTCTCGTCGCCGTCTTTCAAAAGGTCACCACCATCGCTTGTGTCCAGCTCGCTGTAGCCCCGTGGCTTGAGTTTTTGGGCTTTGACCGCTCCGAGTTCAGGATCGAGCAGCGCTCGACCTCCCCTTCCAGACGGTTCGAAGCCATGTTTGCTGGGCCTCTTCGGGTTGCCACTTGCAAAGTGTCGACGGCCCTCGCTAACCTCAAGTCCGACGGCGTTTGGAAGGGGTTAGCCCCCCCCCCCCCCCCCCTGAGGCTGAACGACGCCGCCTCCATTTCGGTCCTGGCAAGAGCCCCAAACATATCAAGCTCGAGGTCACCCTCTGCAAGGCTCGCGTCCTCGTCGAGGAGCGGTGCCCCGACATGCGCTACCACGCCGGCCGTGGGCGCGGCATCCCCCCAGCTGGCTGGGGCACGATCGTGCGGGCCCAGGTCTCCCACGGCGACGGGCCCCCGAAGATCTTTTGTGGCGTCGCGCAGCTGTCCAAGAATGACATGCCCGACGCCGCCCCCCGCGACGCCGCCTAGCCGCTCGCCGCGCCCGCGGGCCCCAGCCAGTGGTCTCTTTAGCGCTGCTCTTCTATTTCAACTACCGCGCCCTCCCGACTCTCCGTGGCCCCCGCTGCGCTGCGCGACCTGGAACGCTCGGGCTCTCCCCCGGGCGGGCGGCGACGAGGCCGCCCTGAAGCGCCTCTACCTACTGCGTCTCCGCCCCGAGTCCACCATCATCTCGCCCCAGGAGGTTCGCCAGGGCCGCCTCGAGCTCTCTGCCTTCGTCCACTCCTGCGCCCCGAATGTCGTCGTGCACTTCAGTTTCTTCGACCCGTCACCCCTGGGTCGCATTCGCGGCGGCGCGGCTATTATCCTTCCACCTCTCGCCGCGGGTTGCGAGTCACTGGCTACGCCTTCGCAGAGGGGTGCTCGTTCCTGGGCGTGCGTTGGTAGTCGTCGTGTCTCCATCTCGTTCTGCCATCTTCATCTTCAACGTCCACAATCGCGACCTCCCCTCCAAGGATGTCCAGCCCATCTCGCATTGGGTCCGCCGCGCCAAGGCCGCTGGCGACCTCGGCCCCGAGCGCACCATGGTCGCGCGCGGCGGGGGCTCCAATTTTGCTGCCCGCGAGGCGGCCTGCCTGCGCATGCCAGAAGCTGCCGTGCGCCGCGGAGCTCGCCGCCATCTCGCTCGCGCCCCAACGTGGCGAGAGGCGCTGGCAACCTTGACTGGGGCGGAGTCCGACCAGCCGACTCACCCCGAGAAAAGCTCGGAGCGCGGCGCCATCATCGATCGCTTCTTCTGATCTTGCGGGCCGGCAGCGATGTCAGCTGGCTGCCAGCGGCTTCACCGTCGACTCGGCCGCTGATGTTAATGACCAGAAACTATCGAACCATGCAGCGCGCGTGGCGTCGTTCTCCACTCGCGCCGAGAAACCCAGAGATCCGCGTGCCATCGAGATGCGCATCTTTCGGGGCCCGCTTTCAAGAGGCGTCTCGAAGTCCTATCCGCGGCCGTCGACCGGCGCCGTCTCCCCCCCCCCCCGAGGAAGCTCGAGCTGTACAGGGCTCGGATGAAAATCGCGGCTGCCGAGACTAGGGACATGCCGTTTCGTGACCGCCCCGACCACCCCTGAGTTCTCCCCCAGCTCTACCGCGCCATCGCTCGTGTTGGCTGGCTCCAAGACGTGTCCTTGACACTGCGGATTTGCGCATCACACCCACTCGATCGTGATCTCCCCGTGGCGTCTGGTGGTTCAGTCACGATCAGGCACCCGCCGAGTTTCAGGGCGTGGGCCGACAAGGTTCTGTCGGAAGCTGCGGAAGCATCGAGGCGAGAGCTGGAGACGCGGGGGCAGGCGGAAGGAGACCATGCCCAGATTCGCCCCCAACTTCGTGCTCTGGAGCACCGCGCCCGTCTTCAGTCGCTTCTTAACGAACGAATCTCTCTGGCTGCCGTTGCCGGTGGGAGAGGCGCTTGGATTGAGGGCCCAGCTGGGCGCCCCCGTGCGCTCGCCACCTCTTGGGCCCCGGCGTTCTCCTGACAGGGTTGGGATGCTGCTGCCGCTCCTGCCTATCTCCGCGCACACCTACCTCTTCTGGCTGATGTCCACATCCCGCCGCCCTCCCGTGCGATGCTTCGTGCAGCTCTCGGAAACGCTCGTCGCTTTGCACCTCGCCCTGACGCTCTCCCCTATGCGGCGTGGGCGGCGTCACCGTTTGCAATTGACGTTCTCTGGGGAGCTCTCGAATGGCCGTGTTATGGGCAGTCATTGTTCGATGGCGCCAGCGACGCCATCCAGATTTCTTGCCCAAGAATGTATCTGACCTCGAGCTAGCCTTTGGAGACTACATGAGAGCCCCCGATAAGCTGAGAGTCTTGGGTCTGAGAAACTGCAACGCGAAGCTGATCTCGACCATTATCAATCGCGCGATTTCCCCCGCCCTCAAGGCTTGCGCCCCGCAGTGTCAGAGTGGCGATATCCCTGGGGGAATTTTTGGGAACGACATCCTCGAGCTCGACGCATCTAGTCGCATCCTCTCGGTCGGAGAGCCTGGGTCCACCGAGATCCCCCTCCTGTTCAGCCTCGACTTCGGCCAGGCCTTCCCCGCCCCTGAACCAGGACTTCCTCCTCCTGTCCTGGCAGGCCCTCCGCCTCCCTGGTGCCTCCCTCTCGTTCGTCGAGGCCCTCCGCCCGTCGATCCAGGGCGCGGTTGTGTCCATGGGCGCCCTCTCCCACCTCTACGGGAATCAAAGTAGCATGATCCAAGGGCGTGCGCTCTCGGGGACCTTGTTTGCTTGCAGTGTCTCAGCATTTCTCCAACATCTCACCGATGTGATCGAGGGCCCTCAGCGTGGCGTTTCACGGGCGCGTGCCGATGGCATTGGGGGCACTGGCTGACGTCTCCGATCTCCGCGCTGTCCTCGGCGAAATGAAACAGGCTTCGGGAAGGACCAACCCGTGTTTGAAGGCACCCAAGTGCAAGGTCGCCCCCCTTCTCGCGCCCCTTCAAGCCCTCCTTGGAGCACCAAGTCAAGTCCGCCATCGCCGACGTGGTTCCCGAGTGGAGCCAGTTCGAAGCACCGCCCTCCTTACTCTACTTGGGCATCTGGCTGGGCCCCGGAGTGGATCCGTCAACTTGCAGGCTCGAGCCTGTCTCTAAGCTTAGGCTCCGTGCCCAGGCGATCGGCAGGAGCACCGCGCCTGCCAGCCTGTCCTCCATCCTGTGCAACGCGCGGGCGGTCACCACCATCGCATACGTCGCGCAGTTCTGCTGGCCGCCCAACCACGCCCTCCTCCCCGAGCTCTCCGTCCTCGCGCAGGTGTTTCGCATCCTCCTCGGCGCCATCGACCTGGCCTCGCGGGCGCAGCTCGAGCTCTGGGGCGGCCCCCGCGCCCTCCGCTGGGCGCGCGTCGCGGTCGCCTCGATCGCGCGGGCAGCTCTCAGCACATTTCGGCGCTGGCAGGAGTGGCTTGCCGTTCTGCGGGCCCGCCCGCGTTGCCATGAGGATTGGCGCACTCTCGACATGCTCGCCTCGTGTCGGCCCTACCCCTCGTTCAGGCGCTCCCCAACCCTCGTCGAGAACCTGGAGGCCGCTGCTGCGGGTCGCGCCCCTGCTGGCCCTGTGGCCTCCCCGGCGCCGCCGGCTGCTGCCGCTGCTCGCGAGGCCCTGCACCCGCCCGACGGCTCTCGTCCTCGGCCGCAACGCGCTGCTCATGCCGCCCTGCGGCGCCTCGCCATCGCCGACGCCCCGCTGGTCGCCCTGCTGCCCCGCCGCCTCGCCAAGCTCGCGGGCCGCCGTGCCCGCTACCTCTCCGCCATCAACTGGGACGCTTGTGCTGCTGTTATCCGCCGCTGCCCCTGTTCGTGGGCCCGGGCGGTGCTTCGCACTTCGCTGGGCGCCGGGCTCGTGACATCGCGCATCAGCTCGCCGCATGGCCGTCGGCGCCGTGCATGCGGCTGCCTCGGCCGCCCTGACTCGCTCTCGCACTGCGCGCCCTCTCGCGCCCGCTCCCGCCCCCGCGGCTGGAGCGCTGGTCGCTGGCCCCGCCCTCCCTGGTTGCCTGCGGCTACGTTTGCACCGCCTACAACATGCACAACGACACGTCTCATCGAGTCCTGGCCGCTCTCCCCCGCCCAGCTGCGCTCCGCCGCGCTCGCCGGCGTTCGCGCCGCGGCCCTGACCGCCCCGCGCGCCCCTTCCGAGCAAGAGCGCCAGGCCCTACAGCACCGCGTCTCCTCTTGGCGTTAGAGCGCAATTCCCGTTGTCGTGTTCGAGCTCGCCGTCGCCACGCCCCTCTATTCACGGCGTTAGAGCGCAGGTCCTTGGTTCGGGCTCGCCGTCGCCACATACCTTTTCTCTCTATGGGGGCGCCTCTCCCGACCGCGTTAGAGCGCAAGGCCCGTCGTCGTGTTCGGGGCTCGACGTCGGGCTCGGCGCCGCCTGTTGTCGGATGCCTCGGCCTCGGCCATGCTGTCGCGGGCGTTAGATCGCAAGTCCCGCTGTCGTGTTCGGGATCACCGTCGCCACTTGCTGGGCCCGTGGGCTGCTACTCGTCCAGGCCGATTGCCCCATCGAGTTTTATTGCTCCCTCAACGACGATTGCCATCTGTTCTTCGATGGCGTCCTCGGCTCCACTGGCCGCGCGAAGTCTCCAGATGGCTACTCGTTCTTCTCCAATTGAGCCCTCTTCTCCGATCGCGCCCGCGACTTCGCGTTCCGCATGCACTTCCCGTTCGGTAGGCATCACCGTCACTATTCTTTCCTCTTCCGCTCGCCGCTCCCCCTCTGGCCGCGTCTTTTCGACCTGCCCGTTCCCTCCGCCTCCCCGCCCTTCGCTCGCGGATCTTGCTGCTGCCGTTGCTTGCCCCCCGCCCGCTCCTCACACCCTCGTGGACATTTCGACTGCCCCTGCTCTGTGGCCGCCCTGTCCACCCTCTTCGCTCCTGTTTTCCCCGCGCACCGCCATCCACCCAATCGTCTACTCTCCTTTCGCTCTGAATGAAAGAGTTGCTATCCGCTCGCGTGCGTCGTCGGGGCCGTCGACTCCGACACCTGGCGCTGGCACGCCTCCGCGCCGCGGCGAGTCGCCGCCCTTGCCGTTCCCGCCTGCTGCCGCTGCGGTTGTGCGTTCGGGTCTCTCTTGGATCCTTGCATCTGTTGCCGCTGGTCCTCCCTCGCCCTCCGACCCGATCGATTCATTCGCCCCCTCCCTCCGCGAGGCGGGCGTGGAGAAGTGCTCCAAGCGGCCAGGCCTGTGAGCATGTGGTGAGATCTTGGGACTCCCTGTGCGCTCGTCTCCTCCTCCTCCTCTTCCTCCTCCTCCTCCTCCTCCTCCTCCTCCTCCTCCTCCTCCTCCTCCCATTATGAAATAACAGTGACAGAACCTGGGAACTTGGAACCAGGAGCCACCGCAGGAAGCAGAAACTGGGAGTCGGAAGCCAGCAAGCGGGAACCACGAATTCGGAATCTGGAGCCGGGAACCGGGAGCTGGGAACTTGGGGCGGGAACTTGGGAGCTGGGTAGCCGGGAATAGTTGAACCGGGAACGGGGCTTTGGGAGCCAGAGAATCGTTGGATCCCTGGGCCCAGCGATTGTATGTCTTACGTACATGTTTACTAACCTCCTCTACATTCTCTTCATGTCTAGTGGGAGGGGCGGAAGGACGAGTAGGTGTGGGGGGGGGGTGACGAGGAGTTCCCCCGGCAGGACCTCGACTTCGCCCAGCTCCGCCGGAATGCCCAGTACGACGGGTACTCCGAGGATCTGCCTTACATAGAGGCCGCCCGCTGCTTCTGCCTCTGCCAGTGCCAGCGGCTCGAGCTCTTGCAAGCCTTGCTGCGTCGATCTGCTTCCCCCGTCATTATCGTCCTCCTCTTCCTCCCCCTCCTCTCTTCGTCCTCTTCCACTTCCTCCTCCTCCTTCTCCTCTCTGCTGGAACCTCCCTCTCTGCTCCTCCTCCTCCTCCTCCTCCTCCTCCTCCTCCTCCTCCTCCTCCTCCTCCTCCTCCTCCTCCGCCTCAGCCTCCGCCTCCTCTTCCTCCTCCTCCTCCTCCTCCTCCTCTTCCTCTTCCTCCTCCTCCTCCTTCCTCCTCCTCTCCTCCTCTTCCTCTTCCTTCTCCCTCCTCCTCCTCCTCCTCCTCCTCCTCCTCCTCCTCCTCCTCCTCCTCCTCCTCCTCCTCCTTCTCCTCTCTGCTGGAACCTCGCTCCCTGCTCCTCCGCCTCCTCCTCCTCCTTCTCCGCCTCATACACTCCCGCCGCTCCCCTATCCTCATCCTCGTTTCACCCTTCCCTTCACGCGAATTCTTCCAGCTGGTGTAAGAAAAGTGGCCGGCTTCCCAGCTGAGCTTTCTCCTTTTGTTGGGCGTCATGTCTGGACCGCGCTGGCGTGGGGAGGGCCCTTCATCATCATCCTCTTCACCTTCCTCGCCTCAGGCTGAGGCGAGGGGCGCACATGCTAACAGATCCCGCCCTCGGCGTTCCGTGTGCGGGTGACCGCTGTTGCTGCTGCCATGGATTTGGCCGCCTTTCGTTGCTGGAGGGCCCCTCCAACCTCCACCTCTTCCTCCCCGTCCCTCCTCGTCCGCCTCCTCCTCCTCCTCCTCCTCCTCCTCCTCCTCCTCCTCCTCCTCCCTGTCCCCCCCTTCCTCCTCGACCCCTCCCCCCTCCTCCACCCCTCCCCTCCTTATTTCCTTCCTCCACATCCTCTTCCATCCCATTTCATTGAGAATGGCTCCTCCCTCTCGCACCCCCAGGCGTGTCGGTAGGGCAAGCCAGCGTTTCGCCTGATACATCCTCACTACTGATGATCCTGAAGCTTGACGTGTGTAACAGTTTCACACATTGAGGGCGGTTCGTTTTCAACATGTGGATCTTGCCTTAGCGCCGCGCGCATTCGCCTAAAAAATGAAGCTGTTCCGAGGACTGAGAGCGGACCGTTTTCAACATGTGGATCTCGCCGTAGCGCCGCGCACATTCGTCTTAAAAGTTCGCAGCGGATTCACGGATGGAGGGCGGCTCGTTTTCAAAAGGTGGTTCTCGATTCAGCGCCGCGCACATTCGTCTTGAAAGTTTGCAGCAATTTCACGTGTGGAGGGTGGGTCGTCTCTCGCATGAGCACGGCGCGCATTTGATTCAAACGTTGTATATGTGCAATCGTGTCAGGGACTTGTCTGGTTAAAATCGCCAGAATGGTGCTGGCACGATTACGGCTCGTTTGGGCGCAGGAGTCACGTTGAGTCGCGACGCTGACGCCAAAGGGTGGCCAGGGCGCAACAGGTCACGTTGATCCGCGGCGTTTCAATCCCAGGAATGTTGTTCTCTCACGATGGAGGATTCTCAGACGGTTGTCTCCCAATTGGCCATTTCCTGCAATTGAAATAAATGTTGATTCGGATGTTTCAGGAGGGAGTTCGGAGGGATGTTGTGTTGCAGCATCGTTGACGCGCGTTGGGTTTACATTGGTCCTGAGTTCATAGCGGCGTATGAGAACAACACCGAAGGCAAAGGGGACGGCAAGGGCAAAGGGAAGCCGACCAGCCCAGCCAGCAAAGACGCCTCCGACGGTCGGCCCAGCTCCAGGCCTCCGTCAACCAGGCCCCGACCCCCAACCCCAGGCAGCCCATCCGTGGAATTCCAGCACAGTTTATCTTGCAGCTTTCAAGCAAATGCCCACAATCACGAATGACTTTGGGCAAACCTTCCCTGGGCTTGAAACCAGGTGCGCCAAGCCCATCCAGGCCGGGCTCGTCGAAATCAACACCAGTGACTCCGTCCAGGGGAAGCCGACCTGGTCATCATCGCAGACACCCGTGCGACCAGCAGCTACACTTATAGGTTCATGGACCACCAGCACCGGCTCAACGTTGCCTACACCAGGACCATGGTTGGCGTGGTGTTCATTGGCATTGGAGTGATGTACAGCAAAGCCACCGAGTCTCAGCTTCACATCCTCGCCACCTGGGGCATGGAGGCTGGCATCTGGATACAACTGCAGAACCCACAACAAGCAGGAAATCGCCAGGATTTAACCGAGGACCATGACCCCATGCCAGCCAGACTCCACGACACCTGTGTCTCATTCGAGACCACGGCAGAAGACCGCATCAGGATGGAGGCTGACGCTGCGCTGAAGGCCAGGGACAGGAAGCTTGCCAAGATACGCGGGCAGCAGCAAACAGCTCGGCTTTGCCACCGTGGTCGACTTCCCGCTGCCCGACAGTCACAATTGGATCGAACTGGCTGAGGACCTGCAGAACGCGGGGCCTCGACTGCTAAAGGACCCAGGCCTCGCCCCTGTCCTCTTCTGCGGCATGAGCCTCCACCTGCACATGTACGGACCTGGCGACGTGTCCCGAGACCTTGCGGATCACTGCATGCACTCAGCCACGACGGATTCCCATATGACCTGGAGCTGGGGCTGGACCCCACGATCTACGTCTACACAGCAGCTTGGGCGGCTCTGCTACACATGGCTTGCTTAAGACCGGACGATGCCCCAGAGGCGCATCTGCGAGAATAACAGCGCCTTCTTGAGCCTGATGGGAGAGGGCCCAGCGACCGCTGGCGGGGAAAAGGGCGACTCGGTCCCGCATGGAACCCCATGCAAGACACCTGGGTGCTGGAGCGGCATTGCCTGTCGCTGTCGGCGCCGCACAGGACAGCCCACGGCCAGCTGCAGTCGAGCGATTCTTGGACAGGCCGCGGGGCACTGGGAACTGATCGGGGGCCAGCTGCGCGGGCCCGGCTCAAAATCCCTTCATCTCCTTCTGGATTGCCAAAATGCTGATCATCATGCTCATCGCGATCCGCGAGCCGAAGGTACTCCTGCGCCCTTGCGGCAAGCCTGGCCCTGCGGAAGACGCATGGGAAGCTGCCCGCGCCTTCTGCGACCCTTAGCGCATGGCGCGCCTGCCCATCCGGGGTCATATGGGCGCCAATCGCGGGATGCAGCCCGCGGAGTTCAGAACGCTCCGCGGCAGGGGCCGCGCGCGGTCAGCCGCCCGGCCACCGCGCCCCACCACCACCCGGTCGCCAGGCTGGGCCAGGCAGGCCAACTGCCCGACCACCTGGAGGAACATGGATGTTTGCGCCAACCCGCTTCAAGCCGCTCTCCCAGCCCAGGATGCGCTCGTGGAGCCCGCTAACCCAGGTGCGCTCGAGGCGCGCGATTGCGCTGCGCGCGAAGTCTAAAGCCTTGACGGACCCGGGCGTTGGACTACGTGCCCCAGCTGAGCGGCCGCAGGCCCGGGCCGTGGACTACGTCGGCGGGGAAGGCGCCCAGTTCGGAACGCTGTTTTCTAGCAGACACACCCAGTGCCCCGCTGCCCGGCGCTGCCCTCGACCAACCAGCACTTCGCGACGATGGCGCCCGCTTCGAGACCAGCGAGAATTCGACAAGCAACGTCATTTGGAGCGACGAATGCGGCAGGGGCTTCGGCGTCGACACAGGTGGCCGGGTTCCGGCGGAGGCTTGGCAACCACTCGCAGTCGGCCGCGAGACCGGCCACCACAGACTCAGAGGGGCTCGCTGCGAACGGCGGCGCGCTGGGCGCGGGGAGAACGAGCTGCGGGCACAGGGGCGCGCCGCCCCTGAGGACGGCAAGCTCGGCCCCTGCCTGCGCGGCCTGGGCGGGCAGCGCAAGCGGGATGGCGACGCCCGCGCCGGGCGACAATTCCCGCGGGGCTGTCCAGTCAGCACCCCCGCGGGCTGCGCGCCCTTGGCGGGCCTGCTGCTTCTCCTCCCCCCTGGGCGGGGGGCCCTCTTTGCCCCGGCGCCCTCGGCGCCGCCGCCCCCTGGCGCCGCGTCGACGAGGGCAGGTTCGGAGGACGGGCCAGGAAGAGTGGGCGCGCGGCGAAGCGTGGCGAACGCGCCCTGGGAGAACCAGCCCTGGCCCCGGAAGCGGGGCAGCCCCCCCCCCGGCGCGTTTGCCCTTCGCCCTGGCCCGCCTCGGCACGGCGCCGACGCCTCCACCGGGGACCTGGCGCGCCGCCCCCCGCGCTTCGCGGACCGGGGCAATTTTTCCAGGGCAAGGGCTTGGAGCGACAAGTGTTTATGCGCTCGTTGCCTCGTGGGCATCTGGGGCGCGAGGCCATCCGACGCTCGGCCCCTCCGGGCAAGGAGCGGCGCCCTCGTTCGCCCGCCCAGCCCTGCCGCGCGGCCCCAGGTCGGTCCAGCAGCCCGCGTGGGAATGACCCCTCTGGTCGCCGCTTCGGCGCCCGCTGCCCGCGGCGCTCGCGACCCGGGGGGCCGCGGGCGACGACGGCCTGGCCCGCCGCAGATTTGGGACCCCCCCTCGGCAGAGCACTTGGACGCGGCCGACCTCTTGAGCACGGGCGCCGAGAAGACAGGGCCAGCGACAGACCGCCGGGCAAGGGCCGAGGCAGCGTTGGACTCCGTTGGACGCATCGCGGCGGGGCCGCCGCCGAGCAGCCCCCGCCGCCCAGCTCGGAGCGGGCCCCAAAGCGCGGGGCAGTCGCCAGAGCGTGGGTGGAGACAGGAGTCGGCCCCCCCCAGGGCGACAGGGGCCACGCAGGGCGCCCCCAGTAAAGCGCAACTGCCGCGCAGAAGGCCCGCAGGCGAGCGCCGCGGGACGCGCGAGGTCGAAGCGCCCAGGACGTCCAGGATGAGAACCGCGACAGGGCCCAGCGCGAGACTGCGGCGCAGCCCCCGGGGCGGGGGGAGGGGGGCGGCGGTGCAGGATGCCCCCCCGCAGCATTCAGGAAGCGCCCCCCCTGGCATGGGGCCCAGCGGGCGCGCAGGTGCAGGCGGTCGCGCTGGCC